TGAGGTTCAAAAAGGCTTGATCGTTCATTCCTTAAAGGAATCTAGCGAACTAAGACCCGATCTAGAGGTTTTGGGTCGGGGCAAAGTCAATGGCGAGGTCAGAGTGGCGAGTAGGAGTGTGTAGGACGAGAAAGAAAAGAAATGGGGTGCGCGGAGATGTCGAGGGAAGAAGGGAGAGCGGGAGCTAAAAATGTCTATCTCCCTCATTCCTTTATAGAATCATGCAAAATAAAATACTAACTTGGGGTTTCAAGGCGAGGCGAAGTTGATGACGGTATCGGTTTTCACGCAGGGTGGACGGTTTAGGTGGTATCAACGGTATGGGTTGCGCGGTTGGTAAGCGAAGGCGAGCGGGGAAAAGGGCGGGCATGCATTTTTGCATGTTCTAGCGAAAAATCATTCCCAAAACTTGCACTAGAGATCACGCTGCTCCATGCGCCTCGTTGGTAGTAGTTCTCCCGGCTAGATTCGCCCGTCGCCCCGATCCCAACCTTGCTTTCCGGGGTGGTGTTTGYTGTTTGCAGTGGCGCATGCAATCCCGGGCGTGCTCGTTGAGGTGATCTTGCCCGTAGTGTATCTCCCTGTGTTCTAACTGAGGATACATCCGCGTGCTGTAGTACTCGTAAGCAGAGCAGCAAGTGCGGGCTAAGCATTGCACGAGGAGAAGGTATGGCTTGACGGGAGGTGACGAAAGGGAGCTGCGCAGCTACTACGAAATATCGAGAGTGCAGATGAATCTTCCCGTGTTTTAGCGGAAGATTCATATCGATTTTGCTCATCCTATCGATGGAAGTAGCGTGAGGCCAGCCACGAAATTAGAGACTTACCTGTTTGTCGGTATGTTGCTCATCCTGAGGAAGGAAGTAGCACTGCTCTACATCCCTGCACGCGTGGTTGGGAAAGCAGTGTATACTTTCATGAGATAGCAGAAGATTCATTCTCATTTTACACTTTTAGTGAGTAGTCGAGTGTGGCCCACTGCTGGGCACTCTAGCTCATCGTCGTCTTCTTCTACGTTGTGTACGCCTGCGAGGGGGTCGCAGCGCTGCTCACGACCATTGCCGTGCTCATCATCATCATTTGGCACGTAATCATTATCTCCTCCAAACACCATCTTTGTAGCGGACTTGGGTGAGGCGCTGCTACTAAAGAGCCAAACCGGCACACGTGCATCAACTGAGAGAGAGAGAGAGAGAGAGAGAGAGAGAGAGAGAGAGAGAGAGAGAGAGAGAGAGAGGCTTACCACCAAGCAGAAATGGCGATGCGGGGTGAACCGAAAGTCGAGCTAGGGCTCCAAACTTCGAGGTGCCTGCCTGGGGAGCTTAGCGGTGTATCCACCCATGTTCGAGCGGAAGATTCATTCCATTTTTGTTCTTCCTGTTGATGGAAGTTGCCTCTCGATATTTCTAATAGAAAGTTCATTTTCATTTTTTCTCTCTGTTAATCCTGACCGCGATTTCTTTCCTCTGTGCCACCGCTCATAACCTTCTTCCCACAAACAGCTAACGGACCTGGTTAAAGCCTACAACCAGGCGCATTCGTAAGTTAGATGTTACGACTGGCATAAGAGAGAGAAGCGAATTAGTAGGAAAAGTAGATAGGAAGAAGGGCATAGGAGAGGAAGCGTACCTAATTAAGGCCGAGTCAAAGGCTGAAGTTGAAAAGCAACATACCTCCCCATGCGTTCGGGAAAAAATCATTCTAAATCGGACATCAGTTAAAGTGTGCGGGGGTCAGGTCCTCGCTCGTCATAGCGGCTATTGTGACCGAAGCTGCTCGTTGTAGTGGTGGTCTTCGACTTCAACAAGGTCGTACTTTTCATCAAAGGTCCCGCTGTTGTGATCTTCAGGCTGGATCTTGCAGCTGCAGTCTTTGTCCCGACCATGAGCGTTGGTGAAAGTGCACAGCCATTCCGGTGTTGGCTCCCTGTGGCAACAAGGTCCGAATTACTACTGTAGGGGCAGCAGTCTCTTCGGCGTACATAATTGACAGTCTATGAAGGTACTGTGTTGAGGACTACGATGAGGAACTGTTCTTACGATCTTAACAGGTGGGCTGTTGAACTAAGAAGAGTTACTGTGACTTTTCGGTAAAGGGTTGTTGACAGAGTGCTGCGAGTTCCATTTGCATGTGCGGCTACTGACTGACCGAAGGATGCTGGTTGAAAAGATTACCGTTCAGCAGGTTGTTGTTCCTTTCCAGAGGCTGCCTGCCTTTTCATCAAGCTGCTGAAGTTTGGCTTTCGAGCGCCTCATAAGCTTTGGGCTTTCCAGGGGTATCTCGACGGCGCCGTTTGCTTCTCACGGGCATTCCTCACATTGGCTAGTGGCCTCCCCCTCGGGACACCTCAAGTCCCCGCCGCTCCCCGTATTAGTCTCATTTTTCCATTCCGTCGGCGGTGCCGTCGACAAAGCCCAATTTCCGATAATTTTTATTTGGGCCCCTTTGGCCCCCGGCGTCATCCCGGTCGACGCCCAATTTTTATTTTGGACTTCCTATATCCCCGTCAGTCCCGTTTTATTCTTTCCATGTGTCCCAAGTGCCGTTGATAATTTCCCGGCCGCGGGACCCCCGCCGTGCCGTCGTCGTTTTACCGTTACACTCCCCTAGGCTCGCGGCGCCGTTCTCTAGTGTTTCGGGCATACCGTGGCCTATTTTCCCTTGGTCCAGGCGTCCTTGTGCAGTCTGTTATTTTTTGGAATGCAGCCAGAGCCATATTGCTAGCCCCACAGCCCCACGACACACCCCTTGCCTAAGGAAAATAAAGCGTTAATTTCCCCAAGGCAACCGGGCTTAATTTCGGGTTTCGGAGCCCCAAAAACTTAAGTTTGCCCCTTTTACAACTCGGACTGCACTAGGGGCAGTTTTCATTGCCCCAAGGTCCTACAACTAGTCCCCAACCAAAAGAAAATCAAACGGCAAATTTAAAGTGCATCCGGTCTCAATTTTGGCTCCCGGTGCACTCAAAACTTGTTTTTGGCCTCCCCCATGCATTCCGTTATTTTTCAGTTGCAAGGGGCCTTGATTTTCTTTAATTTTCTCTGCATAAATCAAAGAAAATCAAGGTCCATTGTAACCGCCACATTGCCAAAATGAATCTGGTCCAAAATTCCTCCCCCAGGTGGCCATTTTCGTCCGTTAGTGCCCTTTTGACTTTCTCCCTTCTACTTTTTTTTTTCTTTTTTTTTTCTTTTCTTTTCCCTCCACGTGTGGACGGTTGGGACTTGGCAGTCCCTACTTGCTGCAGTCCTAACTGACGGCCAACTCACTCATCCTCCCTCACCTCCTATTTTCTTTTTCTTTTCTTTTTCTTTGTGCATGCCAAGTGTCAACTAGCCGTTAAGACCTTTTTCTCAATTTTTTTTTATTTTTTTTTTTCCCTCTTTCCTTGGACAGTTGGGACTTGGCAGTCCCTACTTGCTGCAGTCCCTACTGACGGCCAACTCACTCACTCCCTCTCACTCTCCTTGTCAGATTCTCCCACATTTTCCTTTTTGCATGCCAAGTGTCAACTAATCGTTAAGGCCCTTTTTTTGCCTCTTCCTCTTAGTTTTGGCCCTTCCTATACCCAAGGGCCAATCCGTTATTTTTCAGACTGCAGTTATGGCCCTTCCATGCCCTTGGGAGCCACCGTTTGCCCCTCTCCCTTCCAAACGGTAGGCCCCCAAGCACCGATTTTCTCCGGGAGGCCTATTTTTCTCATGGAGCCCCTACGGCTCCATTTTCCTTGGGGGAGGTCAATCCGAGATTTTTTGGATTGCTCCCATACCTCTAGCACTTGTTTTGTTTACTTTTTACTTTTCTTTTGGCCCTCCCGCTTGCTCCCACTAGTGCTTGCACTAGTGGTGCTAATAATTTTGGCCATCAAGATCTCCGATCTTGACTGTGCAACTTGCTTTATTATTCTTTTTTTTCACCACGTGCCGCGCCGCGATTTTTCCTTGGGACGTCACAGTTCCCGCCACTTGAACCGCACTGGTCCCCGACACTAGTCCCCGACACTAGTCTTAGTCCTGTGTGGTCCCCAACACTTTGTCCCATCGGTACCGCACTTTTGTCTAGTCGCATGTGGTCCCCGACACTTGTCCCATCGGTGCCGCACCTTTGCCCGGTCCCATGCGGTCCCCGACACTTCGTCCCGCCGGTACCATGTCTTTTCTCGGTCTCACGTGGTCCCCGACACTTCGTCCCGCCGATGCCGTATGTTTTTCTTGGTCTCACGCGGTCCCCGACACTTTGTCCCGTCGGTACCGCATCTTCTCTTGGTCTCAAGCGGTCCCCGACACTTTGTCCCGCCCGTACCGCATCTTCTCGTGGTCTCACGCGGTCCCCGACACTTTATCCCGCCGGTACCACATCTTCTCTTGGTCTCACGCGGTCCCCGACACTTTGTCCCGCCGGTACCGTATCTTTTCTTGAACTCACGCGGTCCCCGATACTTTGTCCCGTCGGTACCGCATCTTCTTTTGATCTCATGCGGTCCCTGGCACCTTGTCCCGCCAGGCGTGAGTCCTCACTTGGCCCATGACCCCCTTGCTGCCGCGTCCTGGCAGCCTACTTGGCCCAGCTACGTTTTATCGTGCTGACACCTTACGTATCATTCAGTCATTTCCCTTGCTTCTTTTCTCTCTTTGCAGCGCGCATCCTTTGCCACTACTTTTCTTGGCGTTCCTTCTCCGTTTCGGGGGAAGGGTCGCCTTCGCCACTTTCTTGAGTGTCTCCGCCGCTCCCCGTTCCGTCAATTTTCTTCTTAGTCCATTGGTCCCAACGACTTTGGGCAGCTTCTAGGTTCCTAGCGCCTATGCCTAAGCCTTGATCCTTCCATCCTTCTTGCCTCCTGTTTTCTCTACCGTGCACAAATTAGCCATATACAGTCTCTCGAGTGACGGGAAGTCATTCGGAACTCACCAGTCCCGACAACGGTGCCCCTGTTCTCTTCGTCCGAAAGAAGAACAAAGATCTACGGTTATGCATAGATTATAGAAAACTTAACGCACAAACCGTAAGGAACGCCGGCCCTCTCCTTCGGATCGATGATCTCCTTGAGCGGTTAGGCGGTGCGATGTACTTCTCGAAGTTGGACTTGAAGTCAGGTTACCACCAGATTGAAATCCAGCATCAAGATCAGTACAAAACCGCGTTCAAGACGCGGTACGGGCACTTTGAGTGGGTTGTCATGCCATTTGGCCTCATCAATGCCGCTGCGACTTTCCAAGCAGCTATGACGACTGAGTTTCGCGACTTGCTCGATCGCAGCATCCTCATCTACCACGATGACATCTTGGTTTGTAGTAGGACGTTGGAGGAGCACATCGTACACCTTCGCGCTGTTTTGGATCGTTTGCGACTGGCCAAGTACAAAGCGAATCGCCACAAGTGCGAGTTCGCCAAGCAGAAACTTGAGTACTTGGGTCACTATGTCACGCCGAAAGGCATTCGTCCCTTAGCGGACAAGATCCAAGGCATCGTGGATTGGCCGGAACCCCGTTGCACGACGGTACGCTCTTTCATGGGTTTGGCTGGATATTATCAGCGATTCGTCGAGTCATACTCGAAAGTGGCCGCTCCCTTGTCGAGACTTCAGTCCCCAAAGGTGCCCTTCGAGTTCGACGACGCAGCCCGTGGCGCGTTCAATACGTTGAAGGCAGCAATGCAAGCCGCACCTGCCCTCTGTATATACGACCCCACCCTCCCCACCCAAGTGACTACGGACGCTTCGGGATACGGTATTGGTGCGGTGTTGGAACAGTGTCACGAGGACGGTTGGCACCCGGTCGAGTATTTCTCCCAAAAGGTGCCTCTCGTCAACACTCTCGACGACGCTAGAAAGAAAGAGCTACTCGCGTTCGTCACCGTTCTCAAATGGTGGCGCCGCTTTCTTCTCGGTCGTCGGCGTTTTAAACGGAATACGGACAATAATCCGTTGACATTTTATAAAACGCAGGATACGATCATTAGCACGATCGGTCAATGGATGTATTACATCGACCAGTTCGACTTTGACCCGTGCCACGTTCCCGGTCCCGCCAATCGAGTTGCGGACGCCCTCTCACGACAGCCCGATTTTTGTGCCATTGTGACCACGACATTCGACCTCGATGACAATCTGCAGCCGCATTTCGTCAAAGGGTACAAGTCCGATCCGACTTACTCTACGCTTTACGCAAAGCTTTAATCAAATTACCTGTCGGCTAGCCATTATCGAATTTCCGACGGGTTCCTTCTCCTTCACACGAGAGGAAAGGACTTGTTAGTTGTGCCCCAAGATCGCATCTTACGGACTCGTCTTCTCGGCGAATTCCACGACGCACGACTTTCGGCACACCTTGGCGTGACCCGCACATTAGCACACCTCCGCCAGCGTTTTCACTGGCCCAACGTCCTTCCCGACGTCACGAGGTACATTGAGTCATGTGCAGTTTGCCACCGTAACAAGGGTCGATCTCGAGTGCCCTTCGGCGAACTGAAACCGTTGCCGATTCCTCGGGCACCGCGCCTCTCCATTGCTATGGACGTTACAGGCCCGTTCCCCCGCGATCGCCTCGACCATGATGGTATTCTCGAGGTCGTTGACCGTTTGAGCAAGTACGCTCGTTTTCTTCCTTGCAAGTATCATGATGCAGCGCCTGAGCTCGCACGACTCTTGCACACCGGTTGGATAACCAACCAGGAGGTTCCGAAAGACATAGTGAGCGACCGAGATACTCGCTTCATGTTGGCCTTTTGGACTTCCCTTATGGCTGAGTCCGGTACGACAATGAAGCCGAGCTCGGCTCGGCACCCGCAGACGGATGACCAAATGGAGCGAGCACACCAGAACGCTCAGATGATGTTGCGTACGCTCATCCGTCCTGACTAGAAAGATTGGTTTTACCGGCTTCCCGACATTGAGTTCGCCTATAACACTTCGGCGCACCCGGCGATCTGCGTCACACCATTTGAGTTACATCATGGTGGAGAGAAAGCACAGATCTTCGTTGATCTCCTTCTACCACAGGCCGCCGACATAGATGTCCCTTGCTCTCCCGCTTCCATCCGGAAGTACCAATGTCGAGCGCATCGGTCCCGCACGGGGACCCTCCCGGCCGCGTCACGCAGGATTTTGCAGGACTTTGTCGTAGAACGTTTTAGCCGCTCTGGCCGAGTGCGCCAGCCGTACCTCTCGCGAGCCCCTACGACAGGATAGAGTCACGCGAGGCACCGCTTACCTCCACCTGCGGGAGCTGTCACCATCCCTTAGGTGGGCGTATCCCCGCCGAGCTACTGAACCACATGCGAAAGCCTTTCGTATGCAATTGCAGAGGTGGCCCAGCCGAGGGCGTTTCTCGTTCGCTGTAGCATAGGGGGTTACGCGCGGTCGAACGCCCGAAAATCGAACCCGCACGCGAATCGACATACTGGGGGGCTGACGTCCCAAACGCAACTCGGCGTCAGTCGACTAGGACGCATCACACACACCACGCGTTACACCACAACACTCACATCTACCCACACATCACATGGAAAAACACAAAACAAACACAACATCACAACACTCCTAGTCTCTTCAGTATCCGACCCATAACTTCATGCCGCGAGAATCAGGTAGGTACCGCTCGCTGGACTTTCGTATAAGAGTCGTGCGCGCGCATGGCCTCCTCATATCGACCAGCCATGCGGGCATTCGCAAGCATTTGCATTGATGGGGTACTATGTGGTACTCGTAGCCTCGCGGCCCTTGATAATCTCGAGGGTCGCG